TTAATTATTATTATTATTATTATTATAAATACAGAAGAAATAATCACAACAGTGATCAAGTGGCGTTTCCTCAGTGAGTGACTTTACTGGAATGAGGGAAGCACCACCGATTCCCGTAGTGACAAAATGCAGGCAAAAGCAATCGATCCCAGACTGACAGCCACTTAACAACACACTGAGAACACAGCTTAAACATACTTTTAACCATTTTAAACTTTTTAAAAAAATTATAAATCATGAATTAACGGTGTGATATTTCTGCAGTAGCAGTGCATATTTCAACTTGTCACACTCTGAGATGAAGGGATGAACAGACCAGACCTAAGAACAGCTGCTAACTTGCTGTGAGGCTAATTTGGAATTTTTGGGAAATTCAGTTTGTAATGAAAGAGAATTTAGGACGCTGCACCAAATTCTCAGTGACCAAAAGTGACTTATGTGCACTTTGTGTTGATGCAGTGATGGTTCTGATGATGGTTGGATCCGGTGGTGGTCCGGTTGGCCTGTTGATGTGGGTCGGAACAGAGTGGAGCCTCCTTGTTTGTCTAAAAGAGCTCAAAAGAGTTCAAAGGGAATGTTCATGGTACTCACAAATAACAGGTGAGCAGTCCGGGTAGAGCGACATTTAAATCAGGATCAAACACAGAATATGAACATTGGTACATTTCTAATCTGACACATAAACATATATGAAACGAACAGATTCGAGACTAGAGTGCTGCACAGCGGGTCATGGGGAGGTTGTGGACATCAATGCTGAGTGGTCATTTCTGTGAGTTCTATGAAGCAGAGAACAGAGTGACAGACTTTAAGCTGTCCAGTGATCTTGGTTTGGCGTGAGCTCTGATCTTCAGGACAAAGGCTCGGCTGCAGGACTACGTGGAGCTTTCTGGATGCAGCTCATCAAAGTTCTGAGCTCCACTTCCTGCAGGGTCCAAAGCTGGTCATGGTGGTTCTGGTGGCCATTTGGTCCGTTGTTGTCCTGATGACGATCAGAGACGTGAGCCAGTCACTGGGCTCCAATACAACAATACAACATCCTGACTGACCTGGTTTGTCCTCCACATCTGGTCAGATGTGGTTCGTCTGAGGGTTGCAACGGTCTTCAGTTCCAGAGCTACCGAAGAAAATCTGCTCTGTTTTTGTTTTAAAGTCAGTCCTGGCTGGTCGATCCGATAGAATCCTGACCCTTTAAATCTGATTTGGTTGCCTAAAGCAGATTTTAGAATCAGGATGAATTTTGTCCTGGTCGGTGGTTGATGCTGCCATGGTAACAGACTCAGTTAATGGACACTGAAAGGGAGTTCAGATTGACTTTATTCACAACCCGATGACATCACAGCAAACAACGACAACAGCCAATCAGCTACTGCCTTCATGTCAGCTTACGTGTGTGTCTCAGAGTGTGCGTCTGTTGTCTCTAGTGTGTCTGTGTGTGTGAGTGTGTGTGTGTGTGTGT